AGATTCATTCCTTATCTCTTCAAGCTCATTTAATTGCAATAATCTTTTCTCACCAGCATCCTTCAAATTATAATTGAACTCTTTAATCGCCCAATAAGCTTTATACTCAAGTTCAACTGGTAAGTGGCAAGCTTCCCCAAATATTAGCCTATATGGTGACATTCCTATAGGAGTTTTGTATACAGTTCTATAAGCCCACAAAGCATAGTCAAGTTTGACTAACCAATCCATTTTTGTTGGATTTATAGACTTTTCTATAATTCTTTTAATTTCTGATTGGATAATTCAATCAAACCACTTGTTTGAGAATGATAAGAAGTAGCAATTCTATGATTGATATGATATTTCTTTAATAATTTCTCCATTATGACATTTTTAAAATAACTTCCATCATTAGTTATGATAACTCTGGGCATCCCAAATCTACAAAATATGTTCATTTTCAAAAACTTTGCAATACTTTGAGCATCACATCAAGGTAAAGCAATAGCTTATATCCATTTGGATACATAGTCCACTACTAAAAGTATATATAATTTCTTGAAAGATGGTAAAAATGGTCCCATGAAATGTAATACCCAAACATAAAATATTTCAACTTCTAGCATATAATTGAGGGACATCTCATTTCTTATAGAAATATTGTCTACTCGTTGACATCTATCACAATTAATATAAGCATTAACGTCTCTAAAGATAATAGACCAATAAAATCCATATTTAAAAATTTTGTATGTTATTTTATCAACATCAAGATATCCCCCAAAATCAGAATTATGACTATTTTAGATAATTTCATAAGTCTCTTCTAAAGGTACACATCTTCGAATAATCAGATCCTTTCCTTGTTTATATAAAAATGGGTCATCCCAAAAAAAAGTCTTAGCTTCAGAAATAAATTTCCTCTTCTGTTGGTATGTCATTTCATAAGGTATAATATCACTTACAAGAAAGTTCACAATGTCGGCATACCACGGAACACGCCACTAATTAATATTGAACAATTTTTCATCTGGAAAATGTTCATTAATTTCTTTTTCAAAATAGAGTAGTTTTTATAAGTCAAGCCTGGACAAATGATCAGCAATTTGATTTTCAGTTCCCTTCAGATCTACTATTGTAAAATCAAATACTTGTAATTTTTGCAAAAGAAGAATCCATCTTATAAGTCTAGGTTTAGCATCCTTCTTTTTCATTAGGTACTTAATAACTGAATGATTTGTATGCACTACATAATGATTTCCAATTAAATATGATCTAAATTTATCA